TTGCACTTTTGAGACCTTCCCAACACTTGACATTAAATAGTACTTCGTTATGTAGAGTTGCAGGGTTTTTTTTTTTTTTTTTTTTTTTCCCAGAATCTACAGCTTGTATGTAAAACCAGATATGAGAATCCATGTGATTGCCTCTTAAAATGTTGCTATCATTAGAATAAGCTGAAAATGTAGTACCGTGGATATTGCTCCACAGCAGAGCTAGCACGGGATGGCCAGCTTGGGGGAGGCGCTGGGCTTTGATCTTCAGCACCCTGAAAAGGCAGACAACACCCTTTTGCCTCTGCAGAATGGAATTAAAATTTTATCATCTCATTGTAGGGATAAATGTATTCTGTGCTAATCTTATCCTGAAATAGGCTACTAACCTTACAGCAGGATTGAAGAGAGCAGATGGTTGCAATCAGATGTGGGGTGTGTGTGTGTGTGTGTGTGTGTGTGTGTGAAAAACACAATATAAATTTAATTACTTTATACAGAAAGCTATACTTGCCATGTATAAAGTGATTACATTTATATGAGTGCATTGGGGGGGTCCATTCCATTCTTACCCGAAATCAGACTGTGCAGGAGGCAGACACAACGCTGGGTTCTTACCTGGAACCTCTGGAGCTTATCTCAGCAATATAGAAATAGGTAGAAACCAATAGTCTCCCAGGGCAGTAGTCTCTTCAGAGTTTCCTCATTTATATGTTTTACTCTTCTCTGATTCTAGAGTGAGTTTTGGATTTGCTTTCCCAAGAGGAATGGGTGGATATACCAAAGACAGAGGATGCCACCGCCCTTCATACTTTATGCTTACCAAGTGCAGGTGGAAAACCTTGCTAGCCTGCAAGAATGTGGAGGTGAAGAGGGGATTAACATATGGGAAGAAGGATGTCAGTGTGGTTATGATGGAATAGATTAGTAGGCCCAGTCTTCACCTTGACACATGCCCCCAAAAGGTATTGTGATGAACATTAAGTCAAAGATTCTATTTTGGTCAAAGATTCAGTGGTTTTTACTGAGATTTGTGCTTTTGAAATGCCTTCTTTCTTCAGCTGTCAGTGCCTCGTTGACCTGCTGTGGAGCCTCCAGTGTTTAAAAGCTGAGATTGCAATGACTTCCCCCTAGAGAAACTGACAACAGAACGTCTGGATGGGGTATGTGTGTGTGTGTGTGTGTGTGTGTGTGTGTGTCCTGGAGTCTACCTGTAGCAAGCATTCAGAGTGGATTTCATTCTGTGATGAGGCAAAAAGGAAAAAAAGCAGCAGAGAAAAAAACTGAGAAATCAAAGAAAACACAACAGACAAATAACAAGAATAACTCCCTTTAAGTGAGGTTGTGTGGTGTGACCCTTCTCTGACCTGAACCTACCACACAATTGGGTCTATCTTCATTCACACAGATGTAAATAAGAGAAAGTCTTTTTTTTTCTTTAAACTAAAGAGACAAGAAAAAAAAAGTTTATTGAAAGCAAACGTTAATATTCAATTATTTGTTCAATATTGCATAGCTATAGCTGTTAATCTGAGCAACAGATTTGGTGCTAAAAATAAGTAATACAGCAACCATTGCTAATTTGCTATTCTTGCTTTGAAAATCTAACATATGCAATGCAGTGTGTTACCCCGTTTCTGCATGTTTCTGCTATTTGCTTTTGCTTTTGTGTTTGTTCTCCAAAATAAGAGTTTGAAAAAAATAAGAGAAAGGGAGATACTTGTAAAAACTCTAAACATGTCTTGTATATTACCGCAAACTAAAGTCCGTTCTCATAGTCAGACCACTGAGTTCAGGTCATTTGGAAGACAAACTTCATAAGTTCTTTTCTTTTCCATTAGGGGTCTGTTCCGTTCTTACCTAAAGTCAGACTGTGCAGGAGGCAGACCTGACATTCACCCACGCAGCGCAGGGTGAAAACGCAACATGATTTATTTATCTGAAATATACCAGATGAGTGTTCCCTCTTTTATATCATTTATTAAATTTTGAGTATGTTTAGAATATATAATAAATACATTCATCTTGGGGAACCACTTATTAGCTGTACTGGATGGTCTGCACCAGCCTTGGGTCCAGGTCTCTGAACACACACACACACACACACACACACACACACACACACTCTCACACTTCTCGGCTGTGGTTGGTCATGCTGAACTTACACTGTGTCCAGAGTAGCAGGCCCTGTACAGCCAGCAGGGAGAGAGCTGTGTTATAAATCTGAAAGAGGTGGACAGCGCATAGAAAACTAGTTCTTCACTGCCCCTCTGACTTGACTACGTTGTTTTTTCTTTTGAAAAGGAGCTTTCCACTGCAATTCAAGTAAACAACCCTAGAAAGGCCTGCGGACACCAGAGCACGTCTGGGATAACTCCAAGGGCAGAAAGCAATAGAACCTTGAGTTGTATTTTCCCGCAGGCATAGGAAGGGACCGTGTGTACTTCAGCCCAGGCTGGCTGGTTCACTGCCTAGTGGCTCTCTTGTAGCTTATCATGAAATGCATCTATTCGTGGAAAGAGACACGCCAAGGGGCCCCTAACGGTAGCACACACGTTGCTTTGAAGAGTATGGTGATCCCTCTGAGAAGTGAGAAGCTCAGCAGGCCTGCCCTCCGCCTTCTGGAACACAAGTTTCACGATGTGTCACGCAAAATTAGGGGTCACAGTCCCCTTAGGAAGATGAGGGTGTAGGTACCATCCTGCCTTCCCCCAGGCCAGGCATTTGTCCTGCGCCATCCCACCTTCCCCAAGGCCAGGCATTTGCCTTACTTTAAAACTCAAAAGGGAACACTGGGGAGGGCTCTCCTGCAGCCTCCAACATTGTTTTCAGTAATTTGCAAATGCAAGTGACAGCTTTCAGAAGACCAGAGGTGAATTCTCCCAGCCTGCACTTCCTGGCCTCAGGCCTCGCCTTTCTCCTCTGTAATGACTCTACTCTCTGACAACACGGAGGATCTCCCTTCATATTTCTAAACCTCTGTCCAATAAACCGCTGGGATCCTTCGAGATCAGGCCTAACGTTCTAGGTTTCTAGCGCATGGATGAAATATCACATGCAGATCGCATAGGTCGGGTTCTGCTGCCTGACTGGGTAGGCCTCGCGCCACAGGACCATGCAAGGAAACTCATTCAGAAATGATAAACGAGGGCTGGTGAGATGGCTCAGTGGTCTAAAGCACCTACTTAGAACAAGCTTAGCAAAGCACAGGGACCGCGGTTCAATCCCCCAGCACCACACGCCAGCCAGCCCCGCCCCCTGGTGGGCTGAGCTGGCCACACACACACACACACACACACACACACAAATAAATAAATAAGAAATGATAAACGAGGGCCCACCAGATCCCCTGGCGGATTCAAGCACCTGAGCGATCTGGTGGGCCCTGCTAGGCAGACACAGGAACTGGTGTTCTATCCCTGGAGATGGCGATTGAGACTGGGCGTGGTGGCACACGCCTGCAATCCCAGCGTTTGGGAGGCTGAAAACAGTAGGATCACTATGAGGCTGATCTGTGTAGTGAGACCCTGTAAACCTGTACTAAATTAAAAAAAAAAAAAAGATAAAAGTTTCAAGGTAGTGACAGCGAAACATTTAACTAAATGTGGTTCCTTGTAAGAGGCCAGCTGGGTGGGTACAACTGCCCAGGACACACAGACAGCCCCGGGGCCTGCTGTATCTTTAGGGTCCTCGGAACCACCAGACTCTAGTGGATCCCCGTATACTCCGATGAACACAGCAAGGCTGATTAATTCTGCTGGCCTGGCTGTTTTCAGCTGTGTAAGGAAACACACGCAAGGGATGTGCTTGCCAAGCGCGTGGGGGGCGGGTGGGACACTGGGGAAACAGAAACCTGTACAGGTTCCGCACACAGCAACCCCAAAGGACTAGAGGTTCTCTTTGAGCAGGTGCAGCCCAGCAGTGACAACCAGAGGCTCCATGTGGCAAGAGGGGTGTGTAGGTCCTTGTATCCAGGGCCTTGTACCTGCAAGGTGGCTGTCGCTTCCCCCATGGTGCTCACACTTTGCTTGCCAAAAGTAGGCATGGACGATTAGTGCAGGCATCCTTGCCCCAGCAAGGTTGGCCGTGGGGTGGAGAATTTGCGTGTGAAGAGGTATTGGGTAAGATTCCAGGGGACTCAGGAGGTGCGATCTCCGAAGCTAACAAGGCCGCCTCAAGGGGTGCTGTGCAAACATGGGAGGACACGGAAAGAATCCTACTAGGAACGAGTCACTTACCCTGGGTGAGCAGTGGGTGTTAGAGAAAGAGAAGACAGGAGGGAGGAAAAATTAGGAAAGGAAGGAGGGAGAGAAGGAGGAAGGAAAGACAGAGGGCAAAAGAGGGAAAGGAGAAAGAGAGGAAGGGAAGAAGGGAGCGAGGGAGGAGGGAAGAAAGAAGAATGGAGGAGAGAAGGAAGGGAAGGGAGGACAGCAGAAAGGAGGGGAGGAAGGGAAGAAAGGGAGGGAGGAGGAAGGAAGGGAGGCTGGAGGCCCAGAGGGAAGAAGATCCTGCTCCACCCCGCCCTGTCCTCCTTGATTTACGTCTGTCCATTTCGGTTCCCTTCCCTCCTTCCCGCGGCTAGGGCGCTGACCAACGCTGAAGATCCAGCAGGGCCTGCCCCAGGTGGGAAGCGGACACAGAGCAGGGGCGCCAGGGGCCATCGGGCCTTCCCTAGCCATTCCCGGGGGGTCCCAGCCACCCACGAGGGCACCTTCCCTCGCCCACTCCCGAGTTCCCCTTGGATGACAGGGAGGGGACAGGAAGGGGTCAGTGCGGCTCTGGACGCGCCGGCGCGTCAGCCCCGAGTCTCTCACGCAGCCGGGGCCGGCTCAGCGTCGCCTTCCCCGCGCGCTCTGCTCGCAGACCTCAGACTTGCCGGGGCGCCCAGGCCCGGCCCCCTGTCACTCACGCCGCTGGCGGCCAATGGCGCGGCGGCTGTCACCAGGGCCCCGCCCCCGGGGAGCGGAGCAAGGGAGGAGGGCGCGCTCGGCGCCAGAGTGCGGGGATTGAACTTTGCAGCCGAGTTGCCGCGGCCGCGAGGTGCCCGGCGGAGCGGCCCCGGCTGGAGCTGGGAGCCTCGGCCCGTGCGCGCCAGGCGCAGCCATGGAGCCCGGGGCGCCGCGCGCGGCCCTCACCCTGCGCCTGTGCCTGTGGCTCTGGCTGGCGGCCTCGGGGGGCTGCCTGGCTCCGAGCCCTGGCTTGGTGGCGGCGGCGCGGCGGCTGGACGAGTCCCTGTCCGCTGGGAGCGTCCAGCGCGCGCGCTGCGCCTCCAGGTGCCTCAGCCTGCAGATCACGCGCATCTCCGCCTTTTTCCAGCACTTCCAGGTATGCGCGCCCTCGCCCTCACCCTCACCCTCACCCGCCCTCCGCCGGGATCCCCGCTGCAGCCCGAGAGGCGCCTCGGGGTGCGCGCGAGATGTCTCCCAGCCTCGGAGGGCGCCACAGTTCTGCCCCGCTTTCCCTCCGCGTGGGGTGCACGATCGGGGAGCCCCAAGCCTCTCACCTTGGCAGCGAAGCGCAAAGATCGCCCCTTTCCCTTCTCCCCGGCGGCCAACAGGAAAGCGACTGAGGCTTCCTTGGGGATAGAGAAAGCGCTGCTCAGTGGGTTCCCCGAGTGGCCGCCTGGGCTTGTGATTTTCCCGGGACCACAGCGCGTGCAACTCTGCGCGGGGGACGAGTTCCGTCCTCCAACTCTGGAGCCCCCAGGACGCTCGTCCCTACCGGCGCCCACGCTCCCGGATTCCCCAAGGCGCGTCCAGCTGCCCGGACGTCGCAGGTGCCCAGCCTGCGCACGCTTCGAACGCTTTGGGGCGGTGGCTTCCGCACCTGGCGGATCTGGGGCTCGCTGGGCGCCCTTGGAGACACAGCCAGGGCCCCCGGGCCAACTTGTGTGCTCTCGGGTGCGCGGCGCGTGTGTTGGTTCTTGGCGGCTATGCGCATCTCGTTCTCAGCTCCAAGGATTCTCGGCGTTGTAAGGACTATCATAAGGGACAGAGAGTGGCAGGGGATGGACAGGGGCTTCAGGTCGCAGGGGCTATGCTTGGATTGTCTGGGGAAGAATTCCTGGGGCTATGGTATCCACTAGCTCAAGTGCGTTGTTCCAGGTCCAGAGCCAGAAAGGTGTGTGTGTGTGTGTGTGTGTGTGCGCGCGCGCGCGCGCGCCTGCGTGCGGGAGGCTCATGAACCAGCCCTCCTGGCGCCTTTGGACCCTGCACGCTAGCGAGGACTCCCGGCAGCAGCATTCGCGCCGGGTTTGCAGTGCGGGTGGGCTCCTCCCGGCAGCTCCCGGACTCCGTGGGCGCTGGGCTCAGAAGTCCTCCACTTGCGTGCCTCCTTCCTCCTCCACCGCTCGCCTCTCCCCTTAGCTACCCACCTGTTGCAAGATCCCAACTCTCGCCCCAGCGGGCTCTCAGGCGAGGCTGGAAGCGCGAGCCCAGCCCCTTTGCGCTTGAATAAACTGGGAAGGGTTTCCGCCGAGGCCGATTGGAGGGGGTTCACCGAGGGAGGGGCCCCCGGAATCAGGGAATCCGCGAACGAGGGGGTGAGCAGCGGAACTGTGAAATGTATAAGGGTGCAGTGTGGGGTGTGTCTCCGCAGCAGCCCTTGGGCTGGCCTTCTTGACAAGTGTGTGAAAAAGACACCCACGCGTCGCTCAGAGCTGGGATCTGAAGAGCTCGAGTCCACAGGGAAAGTTTGCGTGGCTCTGTTCTAAACCGAACATCGTCGGAGAAAAGAGACAAGGACAGGCACAGCCTCACCCAGGGTCTTCGGGGAAGGGAAACCCAGCATTGAGGTCCCGTAGTGAGTCAGCAGGACGTCCAAGAGCGAGCCTGTCCGCAGGCACCGACTCAAACCCACCGCCTTACCTTGAAAGTCACTCTCCCGCGAAGACGCCACACTATTGTTTAAGCAGTACTTCAGCGCAAAACCAAACCAAACTCGGCAGCCCATCTCCGGGGAGGAAGCGGATCTCCTCCACCTTTTTACTGAATTGTCAGTTGCAGTAATTTATTTGTTTTACAGTTGCAGCGGCTACAGAAGCAGTTTAGATTCAGCCAAATCCCGTGAAAGGCTTTTCTTGTGGTGTCTTGGCTGGATTTCTCTTCCCAAGAAAAACTGCTGACAGAATACACGTTGCCAGACAATGCCGATTACATTTTAATTAGCTTGGGCAAAATAAGCTGCAAATTACTCAGTTAGGGCTTAATAACTGCTGGGCTTTTTTTTTTTTTTAACTTGCAAAGCCATTTTTGGAGGTTTAACTCTAACCTGGTAGTGCCTCTGATTTACTTAAATGGCAGGGATTTGGTTTTCTTAAAACTTGTAAAGAATGATTGGCAGGATGGGCAGGACCGCCGGCAGGATTTATGAATGGGCGGAAGGCTGGGCTGCGGGAGCCGCGAGAGGAACCCATTGATCAGTCGCCACGGGTCTCCTGTGCGTGCGTGCTGCGGCGCTGGCGCTTCCATCTTTGCTGGCGAGGTTCAAGGTCTCTTTTTTAGGATGGAGGAAGCTTGCAAGCAGCCAGCCTGGGTACCAGCCATGGGTGTGAACTCCCGGGTGTGTAAGCAGCCCGATTGAGCCGTGAAGGACGCAGTCTATGTGCCGCAGGTGGACACACGGGCTTGGATTCCGTGGGTACAGTGACCAGCCGGAGCGGCCCTGCGATCTAACCACGGCCACCGCAGACCTTTCCCCCTACTGCCCAGCCAGGCAGCAGCTCGAAGGGTGAGCTGCCGACAGGTGCGGTCGCCTGGACGCAGGCTGCTACTCACCCTCCAGAGAGAGAGAGGCCTGACGCAGGATTTGCCCACAGCGCTCCTGACCTGGAGAGGCTGGAATTGAATTAATGCTGGGAGTGAAAAGCAGCCGCCACTCGACCAGTGATAAGCACGTGTGCGTTTAGCACTCGCCACTTGCTGCCGAATGAGGTGGTCAGGAATTCCGCAGGCCTATCACGCCCTACGCCTGTGGCTAGGAAGAGGGAGGTGAGCCTTGGAGCCAGGTGGATCTGCTCGATTCAGGTTTTTGTACTGGGTAAGGCCCAGCGAGCGACCTTCCTGAATGTCAGCCCCCACCTTTGCTTGGTGCTGCTGAGCCGGTCTGGAAGGCGCAAGCGCAGTCTAGAACAGGCCGGAGACCTCCGCATCGTGTCGTGGGGGGGCGGCTAACTCGCGCTGGAAGATTACTAAGTCACAGGCTTTCTGCGGGGTGTGCAACAAGTACTGTCTCATTTATTTCGTTATGAGTCCATGTTCATAGTACATAATTCCATTCACTCATCCGTGAGGAGCTGGGGCGCGCACCAAAAAATCTTAATTCCTTTTTTATCCCCGTTCCCTTCCCGTCCCTCTATCTCTTGCTCTGTTTTCCTGTTTGAGAAAGATCTATCGCTCCCTTTCCCATTATCCAGCTTGTGTCTTGCTTTCTGTTTGCGCTGTGGGCCTCTCACGTTGGAGACGCCATGAGCTTGGTATCGCAGCTTGTGCATCTGGTTCGTGCCACTTCACGTTACGATCTTGGGGTGCGTCCGCTTTCCCGCGCATGACCCTCTTGTATCGTTCTTTATGGCTCAGTAGAGCTCCGTTATGTGGAGATACCACGTTTTCTTTAGCCATTCATCTATCGGTGGTACTTAGGTTGCTTCCAAGATTGAGCTAGGGAGTGCACGCGGGGGACTGTCATACGTGACGCTCTCTTGGGAACATACCTAGAAGGAGCACAGCAGCACCGAATGGCGTGTCTAGCTCTGGTTTTCTGAGGACTCTCCACACCGACTTAATCGTGGCTCAGTTCCGTCTCATGTAATCAGAGCGAAGGCACGGGAGACAGGTGCTAGTTTTCATCCTCTTAAATTGAGGAGTCATGCTGAGAAGATTGGCTACTCGTGGAACCTCTAGACGGCAGAGTTCACAGCGGAGGTGGCTTATATTTTTTTTGTTTTCCTTCTGTCTTTAGAATTGTATTGTCCAGGTGGAGAGTCTACTTCAGGACTGAGAATCTGAATTTCAAGGCTGGTGCCAACTGGAGACATGGTGGCTTTTCATTTAGGTGCTAAGAGATGTTGATTCAAGGAACTGAAATGCAAAAAAAATTTTTTTTCTACAGCTCTTGTGTATCCTTCTTGATTTCTTGATTTTTTTTCTTTCTTCTCTCTCATCTCCTTGATCTTGTTCTTCTCCATCTCCTCCTCTTGCATCTCCTCCTCCATCTCCTCTTCTTCTCTCTTCTCCTCCTCTGTCTCCTCCCCCTACATGTCCTCCATCTCCTCCTCCTTCATCAACCCCTCCTCTCTCTCCATCTCCTCCTCCTCCTCCTCTTCCTGCTCCATCTCCTCCTCCTCCTCCTCCTTCTCCTCTATTCCTCCTCCTCCTCCTCTTCCTACTCCATCTCCTCCTCCTCCTCCTCCTCCTCCTCCTTCTTCTCTATTCCTCCTCCTCCTCTTTCTCCCTTCTTCCAGTACTGGGAAATAAAGCCAGGCCCCTTTGCACTGGGCTCCTCCCTAGTCCCCTTTTCTAACTTTAATTTTTAAAATATTGACATTGCAGGGCTGGCAAGTGCAAGGTCTTGAGTTCCATCCCTGCTATTAAAAAAAAAAAAAAAAAAAAAAAAAAAAAAAGGCTTGGGAGATGGCTCAGTGGAATAAGCGCTTTCCGGGCAAGTGCAAGGGCCTGAGTTCAATCCCCAGTTCCGCAAAAAAAACAAAAAACTCGGGGTGTTTCCCTAAGTCATTAATCGTTCAGGCTTGGCTCCAACTTGTGATCCTCCTGCCTCAGCCTCCCAGAGTGCTGGCATTACGGGCATACAACACGCTTTGAATGTGCTAGTCAGTGTTGTTTTCAGCAGAGAGATGCTGAGTAGTTTATTTGCAGGAATTTTGCTGTTCATCATCTCATGGGGCAGGGCCGCTTTTACAGGAAACTCTGAGGGCATTGAATGTGGAGGCAGCATCACCTGTGCCACACCGCTGGTACCTCCTGCATGGCACTTGGAGGGGGCTAAGAGGGAGAAGAGGGGACTCCCCCAGGTGCCCCTGCAGGCTGCTGTGTGCAAGGGCTGCGCAGATGCCTGCGCCTTGGGCACTCAAGTGTGCCAAGGAAAGAGTGTGGCTTGGGCTCCTGTTCTGGCAGCTGCTGGGCCAACAACCTGGCCACAAGGTGAGGCAGGCAGCACCCTTCCCGTGACCAGATGCTCTCAGAGCTGCAGGCAGTTGGCCCTGAGTGGCTCCATAAGTCCCCCACCCTGGCAGCCAGCCAGCTGGGGCAGGGTAGCACAGTCCTTGTCCCTGTTAGTTTGAGATGCCCTGCAGACGTGCCATGGTGTCA